GGAAAATGTCTCCTGCCAACAAAACGCTGTCCACACCAGCACTTTGTGTCAGTAAAAATGTGTTGGCGAGAGGTTTTTTTCCCACACCCGTGACTAACAAAAATTTTAATCGACAAAAGTGCAGTGTAGACATAGCCTAAGAGAAGGGGGTTAAGCAGAAAAAGGAGGAGTTGTATCTTAACTTGCAACACATGATCAGTAGTACAATATAGTCTATCAACAGTGACTAGCCCCTTACACCACCACTGACCACAGTGGGACTACTTGGGTTGCTTAAAATTTCATTCACACGATGACAAAATGCGAATGGTTTGTAAGTTTGTAGAGCAATTCTGGTTTGGAAATGGAATGAGGATCACTAGCTTAGTGACATCAACATGCCAACAGTTTCGAGAAAGCAGAAACTAGTGGTGGTCAGGCTGACTGATAATGACATTTTCAAAAGCGATGAGCATTGGCCTGGGGGAGGGCAGGACAATACTCAGCACTTCTGACACTCCCATTATCACTGCTTAGTCTCACTTCTATAACACAGTAGCCATGCATATGAGAGCTTTAGCTTCCTGGTCCATGGGATACTATGTCAGGAAGGAGAAATGCTGGGGAGAGATGCAGGCCACCTGACCAAGGGGGAAATTATCTTTGCACACCAAATCATCAGTCTAATGAGACCTTTAAACTAGGTTCAAAGGGGACAGATGACAAAAACCCATAGATAGGTATAAAAGAAAGTGATCTTAACCCAGGGCTAAATGGTGGGCAAACATGAAAAATTCCAGTAGGATTGTAGGACCAACAAGAGGGAAAATCATGGGAGAATCTGTTCAACATCTTAATGTCCATTTACAAATGCAAGGTACATGAGGGATAACAATAATAAATTGGAAGTATAGTACATGCACTAAATTATGACAATTTACATAATTGAGGCACTGATCTTGTCTTCATTACCAGGGAGGTTGACTTGGATGCAGCAGGTCTAGTGAAACCTCACTAAATGGGCAACAGAGCATTCTCTGGTCAATTCTGATACCTTATTCCTCTCAGGGAGATTGAGTAAGTCAACAGGAGAGCAGTGCAATGCAACAAAGACACTGCAGTAAGTTGACCTAAACTATGTTGACTCCACCGACATTAGTCACTTAGTTGGAGTAGTGTAACTAGGGTTGACTTACCTCAGACAAGGCCTTAGTGGGACAGATATGACTGAAATATTGGGAGAGAGGCGCATGTCTTGTTCAGGGGGGGAGGAAGGAAGAGCTGCTGCATTTTACATTGTGAACATATACAAATGTTCTGAGATCCAGAAGATAGTGAGAGGCAGAGCTCACCTGGGCAAAGATAAAAACAGGGGTAGGTAGTATCATAGGAGTATACTATAAACCACCACATCAGGAGGAGCTGGAGCAGATGTTTCTAGAACAAATAATAGAAATAGCCCAAACTCAGGACCAGGTAGCAATTGGGGACTTTAACTACCCAAACATCTACTAGAAAAGTAATACAGCAAGACACAGAATGTTCAATACTTTCTAGTTTCAGAAGACAGAGGAAATAACCAGGGGTAGCCATTTTAGACTGGATTCTGACCAACAAGGAGGAACTAGTAGTGAATGTGAAGAGTGAAGGCAATTTGAGTGAGCGTGATCAAAGTGAGAGCATTAGACTAAGGACTCTGGACTTTAGCACAAACATGTAGGAAACAGTTTCAGAACAATTGACAAATACCTTGGAGAATGTATGGAGGACAGGAGAGATTCCCAAAGCACTGGAGAAGGGCAAGCACGGTATATATAGGCCAGTCAGCCTAACTTTAATATCTGGTAAGATACTAGAACAAGTGATAAAACCATCAGTTTGTAAACACTGAGAGGATAACAGGCTTATAAAGAATTGCAAGCATGGATTTGTAAATCCTGCTCAATCAACCTAATTTCCTTCTTTGACAGGCTTACAGCCTAGTGGGAAGAGGGAAAGCTAAAGCTGTATCTTTATTTTAATAAGGCTTTTGACACAAAACCACATGATATTCTCATAAGTAAATTACAGAAACAAACAACATAGATGAAATGTGAGTGCAAAACTGATTGAAAGCATACTCAAGAGCAGTTAATAATTCAAGGTCAAAGTACTGTAGTCAGAATTTATTTAGTGGAATCCCACAGGGGTTGTCATAACTTGGATAACAGAGGGGAGAATAGGTTTATGAAATTTGCAGAAGACACCAACCTGAGAGGGATTCTTAGCACTTTAGAGGGGCAGGATTAGAATTCAAAGTGACCATAACAAGTTGAAGAATTGGTCTAAAAATCAACAAGATGTTATTCAATAAAGACAAATGCAAAGTATTACATTTATGAAGGAAAAAAATCAAACACGCATCTACAAAGTGGGGAACAACTTGCTAGGCAATAACACTGTTGAAAAGGAGCAACAAAAGTGAGAACAAAATTTAAAATCTTAATTATGAGGAAAGGTTTAAAAAAAAAACCCTCTTTATTCTAAAAAAAAAAAAAAAAAAAACCACACCTGCTATGTTGTGGTGGGAAAGCTCTGGCCTGTTGGCCTCGTGCGGTTTGTCAGGGTTAGCTGCTGGCAAGACCCAGCTGTCTTGCTTACCTGAGTATCTGCAGGCATGGAGCCTTACAGCTCCCACTGGTTGTAATTTGCCATTCCTAGCCAATAGGAGCTACAAACACCTGTGCCTGTAGATGCTTTGTAAACCAACTGCCTCATGGCCAACCCACCAGTGACTATTCCTGATGAACTGCATGTGGCTGCAGGTACCCCACCCTTGTGCTAAATCTTCAAATATGTAAAGGCTGTTAATGGGCTTTAATCTGCAGCAAAGGAAATTTAGTTAGCAGGAAAAACTTGCTGTATAGAAGGGTAGTTAATTTCTGGAACAGGCTTCATAAGGAGCTGGAGAATCCCCATCACTGGAGGTTTTAAAGAACAAATTAGACAAACACCCATTGGGGTGGTCTAGTTTTAATTGGTCCTGACTCAGCAGAGGCTGGACTAGATAACCTCTCAAGGTCCCATCCACCCCTACATTTCTATAATTGGAATAGATGTGGGAGGTTAAGTTCAAAACTTCATAGTTACCTAACTTATCTCATGCTCCTCTCTTTTGTTATATACAGTTTGTACCTCTTGTGATTGTTGCAAGCTCTTTAGTAGGAGGATATGGAACATAATCGCACTGTATATAGGTTTGGTATGCAGCACACTAGGACCACAAGCACTTACCTCTGGCATGAATATTAAATGGCAAACAGCAAGCCACTACTGACTTCTGTTGCAGTCCTCTGAGCCCAAGAACTTCACCTCTCTGCTTTCTTGACAGGTGGGGAAACAAATGAGATAAAACATATTTGAAAGTAGTAAAGATTGATAAAAAAGCACTGAAGTTGAATGAAAAGCACAACAAAGGTTAAATATTGTTAAGAAAATAGTCTTGGCTACTGACTACCAATTAGCTTACAGGTGGGACAGCTGTGTACAAATGAGAAAGTGACTGTGGTCTATGCTTTGTTCTCCTCAACGTGTGGGATCATTATTCATGGTGGGAAAAGCCTGCGCTGTAGCCAAGCAATCAAAAGTAAAAGTACAGTGGGATTCAGTGTTCCACTCATAGTCCTTACAGATACAGTCTGAGGTGGCTCATACTGAACATCCAGAACTTCCAGAGTTCTACATTTGGTGCAGGAAGAAGCGGGAGGGAGGGACCCACTGCTCTTGCTCAGCCCTGTCACTAAATTCAATTAATTTTAAAACGCATATTACTTGTTATCTGTTGAGCACCAGCAATATACTTGACATTAATCTATTAAATATTTCCCTCGGGACATTGAAGTAGCCTTGTACTGACTGAAGGTTATGTAAGACATAATGGTATGAAGAGGAGAGGCTTGCAAGATGATTGTTGGTAAAACAGGCAGACAAATACACAGATCAGAATTTATTTTCAAATACCTCATTTATATCATTCTCACATGAAACGTTTTTTGCAGTATAGCCTACACTTAGAAAACAGAAGAGAATTTCATAAGGCACATGAGATTATAGACTACATGGAGACATCCTCCCTCACTTGCACTTGTAAAATAGTGATTTTTAAAAGTAATATTTCTAAATCTAGACCCTGTGTAGCCCCACGTATAGCAGTATCCATGAAATTATTAGATTTTATTACACATACAACTAGTAAAGGGCTATAACAAGTCGTATATACATCATATTTTCAGAAACAGTCACAGCTGGCTACATTTAAAGATTATGTTACCCCATACTCTATGAAACAGGCCACTTATAAAAATATAACCTTTCTGCTTCTGGTATGGTACAATACAGAGCATCAAAATCTTACATGACAAATTCAATTATTTTTGCAATGGATGTTGTTTACTTTCACCCCCTCTTTGAAAATCCACATTTTAAATCAATGTTGGCCATTTTACAAAGAAGCAAAATACACAAGAAAAATCTAGTTTCATCACCTTCAAACTGTCAGTATGACTCCATGTATTTTATCACATCAGAGCATTACAGTCAGGAATATCAGCTATTAATTTCACAACCATTAAACATCACAGACCCAGATGTAACTAAATTTAAAATACATCCTCCCAATTCTGTATTACAGAAACTGATTTTCCAGGCTGCCCCAGTTCAGAAGCCAACATATTTTTATTAAATAGGTCTCTCAGACTTCAGTAAAATATTTCCATTACATTTTTGAAGTTCAGTTATGGAACATTATGCACTCATTTTGCTTTAAGAGAGGAAAACGTTCCTTACGGCATTTAAGCCAATATATCTCAGAATGCATTTACATAAAGTCATTTTCCTTAAGCAGGCCAGGAGGTAAAATTGTGGCCAACTTTACCAATTCAAATGGCTTCCATAAATTTTGCTATAATCAGACATCCATTTTGTTATGATGAGAAAGAAATTATAAACAGTTAAAATTCCAATTTAATTGAAGACTCTGAACAAAGATTTGCTTTCAGGCTGCTGCCAACGGAAAAATAAAGCCAGAACATAACTGAGCTTGGAGTATGTAGAACAAAATAAGCTGGGGCCATAAAAAAGTCAGACAATACAAACTAAGGCTTTTCACTCGTTGTGCAGACACTGGCTTTGGAGTTAACCACTGTATCTTGCAAAATAGTCAAATTAACCCACAGCTACCCTCAAAATGAAGCAGACTGGAATACAGCAGGTTTTTTTAGAGCAGGAATTGTGTCATTTGAAGCTGCATAGACAAACCACTAAATGACATTTAGATCCACTTTACTTTAATTTGATGAAGGGAACTGGGAAAGAATCAGTTAAATTTCACTGGCTGTTTCAACACAGTTTTGTGACTGTAAGACAAGTTTAAGCCACCAACAACTTCTTCCTTTGGAAACAAATACGAACTTTGTTCAAACAAGCATCAGAAACAGGACACAGCAGTATCACTTTTCTGGTGTCTGGTTATGGCACATAATCTGCCTTTTTCATAGGCCTTTCATTTAACTGGCAGCATGAAAATATCTCCAAGAGGAACATTCTGAAGTTTGTATTTGTAGGCCTAAAACAGACACATTTTGTGTGGCATTATATGGACATTTGTTGCATCCCTTTTAAAAAACTGTATTTACATTCTTTCAGTTGATCTAAATGAACTGTCATGGTGTTTGTATAAATACAAAAGCACTTACAACTATTCAAAATGTAACAAAGTAGGACTTTGTCATGTTCATTGGGCGTGCACATTACTGCATGTGAAAGAAAGAGAGAGAAAAGGATTTCCAAGTCAGGAGGCTACAAATAATATATAATTACATCAGTTACTAAGTGTTAGGCAGTCTAACAATGTGCTGGAGGTATATGCATGACCTTTCAAACAGCAGCATTTGGGGGAAGACTCCACCTCTTGTTCCACATTGTTAAAGTCCCCCCTGAAGTGGCTGGAGGAAGGAGATGGGAAGAGAGAGTAAGTTTTTAAAGCTAAAAATGTCCATTTTGGAGGCACAGTGTTAGTTTTTAAAAATTGTCCATCTACATAGAGCTCTATATTTCCATAGTCCTTTGTTTCTTCTAAATAGCCCTATCCACAAAGGCCTTGGTTTTGTTTCTCCCTCTTTTATATACATTATAATACAAATCTTCACAAATGCGTTCTTTGACGGAAGACTAGTCCAGAAACTCTGACATCAGACAGGGAAATGCTCAAAGTCCTTAACCTGATTTACAGGAACTGCATACCTACGTGTTTTTCCCATCTCCCTCAAAAGACAAGTGAAACTGAGATTTCTAGTAACAACATATACACACTAATGGATCTATGCTTGGAGAATACGGAGCGAGATACAAGCTAATATAGCTTCTATTTGAATTCATTAGAACAACTCTGAGGTCCTCGCAAATACTATACAAAACAACAGTACTTTTTCCACCAAGATTTGGACAGGTTTTTCATTTTGTCTGGAGTCCTGCACTTTGATTTCTTTGGTTGGTGCTGGGTATCTGAGTACTGAATGCCAGCGACAATGGCCGCATCAAAGACCTCTTTGAGATTTTTCTGAGTCAAAGCTGAGCACTCAATGTATGATGCTGCTTTTATTTCTTCAGCACAAAGCTTTGCGGCCTCTTCTGCAACTGGCTTTTCTTTACATTTATCCAGCTCAATGAGAATTTTGACATCCTCTCGGAGGTCCGACTGTGTCCCAACCAGAATAATAGGTGCTTTCGGGCAGTGGCATCGGATTTCAGGAACCCACTTTTCACTCACGTTCTGGAAGGAGGAAGGGCTCACAACGCTGAAGCACAACAAGAATATGTCTGTGTTCGTGTAGCACAGTGGTCTCAGCTTATCAAATTCATCCTGTACAAAGTAAAGCAACAGTACTGCTGAATACAAGTAGCATTACAAATTAAAAAGGTACCACCCTTACCAGCTCCTAAATATTTCCCATAATAGAGATTTGAATTACAGGTGGGACCTCCCTGATCTGGCACCCCTGGGACCTGAGTGATGCCAAAACATGAAGTTTGCAGGACCAGGGGAGATCAAGGCTTCCCACCTAGTTGTTGGCCCTGCTCCTGGGTGCTAGCCCCAGTCACTGGACTCTGCTCCTGGCGTAGCCAGGGCTGAGCTCCCCACCACCAACCCGATCCAGGTTCGCTTCTGAACCTGGCCAGTCAGGTCTCTCTGGTCCATCAATATGTTGCCAGACCAGAGTGTCCCAAATTTTAGAGGTTCAACCTGTACTGAATGTATATGGAAAAGATCATGTTTAACTGTGATCACATAGGCACAAATGTAACTTGTATGCAACAGAGCATGTATTTTCATAGTAGAAGCCATAAATTTGCCAAAATTTCAGCTTCATCCTGCAACATGAGAGTCAATGGAAATTTTGCCATCAATTCCAATGGACACAGAGTCAAACAATACCTTCTTAAGGTATTTAAGATTCTCTCTACCTAACACTGCTCATCTCTCTTGAATGCTTTAAGCCTTACTTCAGTGTTGGTGTCTATGCCCCTTTGCCCTATTTCAACAGAAGAGCCAGACGGTAGAGGTGGAGTGCAGGTTAAGGTACACACATGATGATCATGCAGTAAATAGAAGGTCGGGGGAGGGAGTAAGTTCACCTTTAGCAGAGATTAAATCATGGCTAAGGTCCGATAAAAGTGTACACATACCCACAACGCTGACCACACTGACATGCACATGTACACACAAGAGCACAGGGACAATGCGGCTGCAACTGTTCCCAGGCAAGAACCATTTTACATAAATAAAGGTTCAATGGCATCCTCTAGGAAATTAAAAGGGGCTCTGCCTCCAGTTTTTTTCATATTTCTTGCTACTACCCCATTTAAAGAATTACAGTACAAAGGCGTAACATGCCAATGGCAATCTATAATAGAGCTTCTTTGTACACCACATCAACCACCTCCACACCTGCAATGTCATACTATTTTTCTTCTCGGTCTTTCCCTCTTTCATTCAAGGCTATGGTTTTTAACTTGAGGAATTAACTAACATAGCCTAGATCAGTGGTTTCAGAACCTTTGCTCCCCAACTAGGTCTAAGATTTCCAAGAGGGTCCACACCTCCATTCAAATTTTTTTAGAGGTCTGCCAATGAAAAAAAGGTTGCAAACCACTTCTGTAGATGATCACCTAGAAGGTAATAGAAGACTTTGCCATCAAGGCACTCTCACTCATAGCAGCAGCTCAAAGAACTGCAAATGAAGAATGCAAAATGAGGCAAGGTTTAACTATGCATAGCTTGATTTTATGTTGACAGCAGGATAAAAGCACAGCAGCGCTAACAGACTAAACAGGTAGGATTTGACTCAGCCGTGATGACATTTTAATTAAAATTCACCGTGCTCTCACAAGGTCTTAAATTAAGAAGTGCAAAGAACAAATGAAGTCAACAATGCGTCTCTAGGACCAATATTTTACTTTTGAATTGCAAGTTACAAGTTAATTTGTCTGGATTTAAGGTTTTACTTGAAAGCTTCTGAAGAGTCTAGGATATGCAGTTGTTTAAAGCCCATTAAAAGCCTCAAAAGTCCCATTCCACTTGAATAAATTTCTTTCAGTGGTAATGCAAAGGTTGACAACAGGTTATAAAACAAGAGTCAAGAAAGCAGGTTTCATTCTGATTCTCAGATTAAGCCTTTGAGGCAACCAGACAGCAGTGCAGGACTTCCACCATTTGGCTTAAAAGAAGTCCTGCCTTTACAAAGTGTACTGTACTGTGCAGCACAGAGGCCAATTACAAAAAGGCATCTCCCCTCAGGAATTGCATGTTCTTAAAAGGCATTATGACATTTTTCAGGATTCAATGATTTCAAAAGCCAAACACCAGATCCTAAGGGAGATTTCTGTAAAGAGGATGCATGATGATATATATTACAAGTACAGTCTGCAAACATTCTTGGTCTGACTGCTAGATCCAGGGACTGCAGAGTTGCACCTTTTGGCTCACAACACAAATCCTCAATGTTTCTTTATGTTTTTACTTCTCGATGTAAATGTTAGCCTGGTTTTGAAGCTGTCTCACACAGACACAAGATTTTATTTCATTAAGCATCCTTTTCTCAGAGGATTTTCCTCACTTTACTGATTTTCACCCAACCCACTCCTTTTAGAGACAAACAAACACCAGAGAGCAGTTTCACTAGTCATTTCATGAAGGCATTTTACACTCCTGAACTAGCAGCAGTACCCAGAGCAAAACGTGACTGGACTGTTCCGGCTTCCTGAAACCAAAGCTTTTGTCATTCCATGGGGCCCCATCACCAAGGATATGGTTACAATTACATCTGGTAGGTTCTACTTCTGAATCCACATCCCAGCTGACAGCATGTTGCCATGCCCCCTTGCCCTCCATCAGGGTATTACATTATGGAACAACCGGTTTGAGCTATCTCACACCACTGTTCAAAGGGGGTTGATGTGTAATTTTTAATCTGGGTAACAACTGCAAAAAAAGCAGAGGCTAAATGCAGCCTTGGCACCGCATAGGGTATAAGTCAGTACTGAATCGAGCCCTTTAAGTTCACATCTTTGATATAATGCCTAGTTAAAACGTAACTCATTAGGATAAGTTTTGTCTCCTGATGCCATCATACTCTTGTGACACTGCTTTTGCGAATGATGGGCTCCTTCAGATGGGATTGTATTATTTAGCTGGCTGCGTATTCCAGATGCTTATGTAAGGAATGTGAGTTTTCAGTTGGGTGTGGAAAACTGGGGGCTTTGGGTGGCTTTAGCCCTCCCACTAAAAACTGAGGGAGCATCTTAATAATGGAAGCACTGAACTGTTTACAACCAGAGCTCATTTAGCTCATCTTAGTAACAAGTAAAGAAATGTAAATGTGGTACAAAACTACTGGTGAAATGGATATTCAACAGGGTTGGTTTTTTTTTTTTTTAATTTCCAGCCCCCCTCAATACCCACAACCCTGTGCATGCCTTTGTATCTGTGCTCAATACACACATAATCTTCCCTCCACTCTCCTAGCAGCAGCACTTTTAAACCTAGAGATAATTTAAAAAAATAAAATTGTCAGCAGCAACAGGTCTGAGAGAGAACATACAGTGTCTGGGAGTTCAATCATACAGGGAAATTAACAGGGAAGCAGTCTGAACCCACAGCTAACCTTATACAGTGGAGCTAAGAATTACTTACTCTGATGGCAATTTAATAAGATGATCAAACAATGGGTATGCTTTAAAATCCATAAAGTCTTTAGTGGGACTGTTTTGCATGACACTTTGCCCTTCCCCCCTTGTCACTTAAATGTAATAAGAAGCTTCACTGACCTGACCAGCTGTGTCACAGAGCTGAAGTCTCACGGGTCTGCCATCAACAGACACAACAGCTAAGGAGAGAAGGAAGGAGAAAAGTTGAATGAGTTTGGCGTTACACATTTTTTAATTAAAAAAAAAGAAATATGCCTTTCCTTAACATTTGTTTTTCCTTCAATTAATTTAGATTTAATAACACGAAGAACTGGAACTAAGTCTGTCACTAACATTTAGGCTCATTACAAACCCTTCAGGGCTTTCCAATTCATTTCACTGCAGTTGATGAAGTAGCAAATCACTGAACTAAAGCTCTTTGATGACACAAAAAGAGTGATCCAAACAATTAGGTTACTTCTCCTGTGACAGAGGGATTTGTTCTCTTGTCATGTTTGTGTTTTCAAAGCTCTGAGTCAAAAAAAAAAAAATCTTCCCAGTTTTAAATCACTAGGAAGACAATGCAAATATTTGTGTTTTCCCTTGGGAGCTTGACTATAGAATTTATCATTAAAAACAAGTTATCTTGATATGTAACAATGTGCTCACTGGCTATGGTGGTACCTTTTATAAGAGAGATCAGCCTTATTATTTCTTTCTTGCTATTTAAATATAAAACACTTATAACCATCCTGTAGGTTTCATTTATTGTTTTGGTTACTAGGCTTCACAGCATTAATTTTCGATAATACAGAAAAGTCATGCCGTCCAACCATTTTTGCAGCATTGAGAATGACTGCATTACCTTTATAGCTAGGCCTATTAGCCATTCCTCAGACATAAAATTCACCCAGAAGTGGATCATTTGGATCAGCCCGCTAAAGACTTAAAAAAAAAACCCAGTAGGAAGCTGGACACCCAGATTTGTGTCTGGAAGCTGAAAGTCTTGGGCCCAGATGACCTCACCACACTTTAAGAGTAGAGAGACTAGAGAGCCATTCATGTAACGCCCTACAGTCCGTCCCATCGATCTCTGCAGTCACCTTCCAACACAATTCAGAACAAAAAGAGGGAAGGAGATCAAGGATTTACTTCCTCCGTCCCCCCTCCCTGCCCCAACTAAAGGAGACAGGGTTGTGACACGCGGATATTCCCAACCTGACCTAAACGACCATCCTTAAACAAGTAAAGTCCTGTGCTGGCAGGCTGAACAGAGCTGTAAAATCTGGGCAGTGCACAAGCACAGAGCAGGAAAAGCAAGAGCCGCTGTATACTATTGGGTCAACACACATTCATCCTTGGGAAGAAGGGGCGATGGGTGGTAATGATGTTTCCAGGTGGGGAAGCCTTTCACCTGCACTGTGGCTGCTCCCTTTCCTGCCTCCGGGGAGGGAGGGGGTCCCTTTTTCACTCGTGGCAGGTCATTTCACCCCTCCCTTAGGAAAATCCATGCAGCTCCCCCTAGAGAGGGGCGTATGGGGGTAGCCCCCTTCCCTCTGACAGTTCATCTCCAGGAGGTGGATGAGCGATCCCCAGGGGAATGCCCCCCTTCCACCCGCCCCACGCTCGGCTCCCCCCCTTCTCCCCCTGCGGCGGCCCCCGAGCCCCTTACCCGAGAAGTTGTCGAAGGCGGTGGGGATGTACTCCGTGGGGTACCCATTCGTGGTGTAACTCACCACCAGGCTGGTCTTGCCCACAGCCCCGTCCCCCACCAGGACACACTTGATGCTGCGGCGCGGCTCGGCTCCCGCCCCGGCCCGGCATCGGCTGCCCAGGGCCGCTCCCAGCGCCGCCGCTCGGCTGCTGCGGACCCTGCGCGGGGGCACCGGGGGCACCTCGCAGCCGCCAGCCAGCGGCTTGCTGATGTAGCCCGCCTCCCCCTCCTGCTGCGGCGGCATCCGCCTGGCACCGGCGAGGGAGAGCCCTGCGAAGCGGGATCGGCGCCACTGGGCTAGGGCGAGAGGAGCTCCACGCCCAGCCGAGGGACCCGGGTGCCCGGCTTCTTCACCGCCCCCGGCGCGCAGCTCCTCCGGCTCCACACCCTCCCGCCAGCAGCCGGTGCGGGACGCCCGGGGCAGCCCCTACTCCGAGCCAGCGCCGTGCCCCGGACCCGCCTCCCGCCGCTCAGCTCGCCCGGACAAGCGGCTCAAGAGCAGCCAGCTGCAGAAACTGGATGGCAGGGGCGCGATGCCGGCCTTCCCGGGCGGCGACAGCAGCGGGAGCCCTGTGCACGCTGCACTCGCCTCGCCGCACACTGAGGTGCCTCCAGCCCCGGCTCTCCGCCTCCCCAGCACAGGCAGGCAGCCGGCGGCGAGGGGAGGAGCCCGGCGCTGGGGGGGCCGCGCTACAGGCAGCGCTACAGCGCTCCCTGCCGCCCCGAGCCCGCCCGCCCACCGCGCCGGCCACTGGAGCAGGAGCCCGCAGGCGGCAACTACAGCAGGAGCCGCTGCGGGGACCTGAGGCCGGTACAGCGGCTGTGCCGCTTCTCATTGGCCACTTCGCTTCCCCTTTGAACGCTGAAACAATCTGCGCCGCGGCCATTGGCTGGAAGCGGCCACCTGGCCGCCTGCTCTGCCCCAGGCTGTTCCGTCCGTCCCGGCTCCTTCCCTGCCGCTTGACCGTAATCCGCTTCCTCCTCCCTCCCCGGAGCCTTGCCCCTCTCCCCCATTCCTGCCTCGCTCTCTGCTCTCCTCCCGCTTCCATCTCTCTACTCTGGGTGGCCAGTCCAGGCCTCTTTCCACAGTCTGTCTTCTGCTGTCTATTCCTTCTCCCCCCCTCCCCCCCGTCTCCCCTTCCCTCTATCAGCTTCCCTCCCACTGACTATATTTTCTCCTCATTCCACGCTGTCCCCTTCTTCCCACCCCTACGGCTCAGCTGTAATTTTTGTAAAGCTGTCTAATCCTGTCAAAGCTCTGCCTGCCTCACCGAGGGGAACAAAGTTTCCGGAGTTAATTTATCAGTATTAATGAGACACATGAGAAGAGATTTATTTGAGCACAGCTAAAGGCTACATAAAAGGAACCATGTTATTTGATTTCTCCATTTATTGCAATGTCAAAAACAGAGTTAATGCAAGTTTTTTTTTAAACTGGAAGTTCTCTTCATTGTGTTGGCACTTTGTGCATTTACAATACAAGAGCATGGGAATAATGACTACTTGATATGCTTCCACCTGTGAAAGAAATAAACTGGGACATTTGAGTTTTAACACCTTTAAAACAGTGACACCAAATCACAGGCTCCCCCTGTTGTTACAACATGATTTTTAAAGGGCTGATCCCTGTCTACGCAGGGCACCGAGTGAGGTTTCAAGTCACTGTAGCTAACTCACATTTTAGCACCATTTTTTTGAACATAGACAAACATTTGGCTACTATTTCAGGCCAACAGAAGAAAAGATCACAGAAGCAGAGGTGTGCTCTGTTTTATACTACCCTATCTCCATTTCATCTGAGCATCTTCCAATAGTATATTAAGTGACACCTGTGGTGCTGAAATGACCTGGGTGAGGGCACGGGTGACACTTATTAGATGACCCTGTTTTAACTCCCATGACAAATGCAAAGTTCTGTCCCATACCAGTTCATGAGATATCAACTGTAAGCAAAATCTCCTGTATATGGGAAACAAGATGCTGGCTGATATATTCCCAGAGTGGGAAAACGGATGACAACAGCTATTTTACTTGCGCTGAAAATAATTAAAGATTAATGTAAAATCACAGAAAATACTGTCTACTGCAAGTAAAAATGACATGGCTCCATTTTTAAATACCAACAGCAAACAAAGATGGCCTATTTACTGAGCTAAAGGATCCAGATAGACAACCATAATTGCTTGTATTGTTCCTGTGCTTTAGAGCAGGGGCTATGTAAATTCATAGCTGCATGGTTGCATTATATTGTGATGTGCCCTGTTGAATACAGTAGAGCCTTTTGTTAAAAGGGATGATCAAGCTGATTGTTGTGCAGTGGGGGAGTACTGGTTAAATAATTTGCATCTTGATAGCAAATCAAAGACTGTCAGTGCTAGCAGTTACAGTAGGGCTAAAGGGACATTAATGTCTAGTCTAGGATTTGTTCAGGACTATATAAATAGTTTGATTCATGAAACTGAAACTTCTGTGCTACAGCAATTGAATTACAAATGCTTCAAAAGTATTACAGTCTAGCTTTAAAAATATTGGTCTGTGCTGTGCGCAGGCTTACATCCTCTTCAATCAGTAGAGTTGCACTCTGTACCAGGGCTGAATTTGGCCCATTATCAGTTGGTATGAAGGAAAGCATTCACCCTATCTTATGCCCTTGCACTAGTCAAATATTATTCTTTGAGAAAATGGCAAGAGAGGAAATTATTTCATCAAGACATGAAATAGGCCATTGTTATTTCCAAGCTTATCACTTTCCCTGAGACATTGAAATATGAGCTCCATGTTGGCCTTGTAGAACAAAAGATTATTTCCCCCCACAGAAGTTTTACAGCTGAAAATGAGAGAGACAAGGGAGAGAGAA